AAACACATCAGTCAGTGTGTGACAACCTATAATGACAAACAAAAGATTACTTTTTGTTATTTTTAGCAGCTCAGCCCTCATTTCAGCTGTTGTGGGGAGAAAGTTGATGGAGGCCATTTTGTAATTTTGCACTACTGCTGCCTGGTGTTTACATGGTGCCCCATTATGGCCAGCTGGACATGTTTAGAGCTCAAACTCCATGTCCACTGTATATGATTGCCCTGATGTGGAGGATCTCACACAAAATGTCTTTTCACCAATCTATTAGTCACATGAAGACAAAAAAAAATACCCTAACAACTTTAAGAATGCACAGAACACAGAATCATTCTCACAAAGACAGTCTTTGCAGACTTGTTTTAAAAAGTCTTAAAGACACTAAGACACAAAAAAAACATAATGAATATTGAGATGCAGCCATCTTCAAATAGAACTAACAATTTTATAAAAGATTTATAAAATATATCTTCCTTGAGAAATATCACAGGATGTGATATTGCTTTTTGTAGCACGGAATCTTGAACGGTGGAATGCCTCCCAATGGCCAAGTGCAACATCGGTCACACGTGCTTCATAGATCAATACACCCAGGTCTGCTAAGTCTGTCAAAGCTATGGATTTACACAGACTAAAATGTAACATACCTGTAGCAAAACTGAAGGTCTGGGCAGATTGCACGGTTGACTGAGGCATATACATACTTGTTGCCATGTTCAGCCAACAGATCACTTTTAATTACAGCCAGAGCTGATGTTGGGCTGTGCCCAATCTCAAATAATTGAGTCAGGGTCTCAACTACAGTGAACCCTACATCCTTGTGCCTCAGTTCCTCCGCAACAAATATGTTATGATTATGCACATTGTACAAGCGCACAGAGGTTGGGTAAGTGGGAATATGGGGATCATTGCTCCTAAAAAACAAAACCAAATCACACAAAGAAACTTTCAAAAAACTTATTAATCCATTTTTGACACTTCTAACTCACCTACTTGATCCTCCCCTTTTGTCTACAGTCTTTACCAGAGTGCAAACCATTTTTGCCCCACAGCATGTGTTTTTTAACAGCCGTCGTTGATTAGCCGTGCCTGGTCAAACAGGAACATTGTGCTGGCACCTGTAATGAGCCTATGGAAAATATGAATGTTTTAATGTGTACAGAAGTGTGCACAAATGTTAGATATTTTTATTTTACATTTACATTTAGTCATTTAGCAGACGCTTTTATCCAAAGCGACTTACAAATGAGGACAAGGAAGCAATTTACACAACTAAGAGCAACAATGAATAAGTACTAAAGGCAAGTTTCAGGTCTGTAAAGTCTAAGAAGGGAAGTATTAGTAGTATTAGTATTTTTTTTTTTTTGTACAGTTAGTGTGATATTCAAAGAGGCAATTGCAGATTAGGAAGTGAAGTGGAGACTAAATAGTTGAGTTTTTAGTCGTTTCTTGAAAATAGCGAGTGACTCTGCTGTTCTGATGCAGTTAGGGAGTTCATTCCACCAACTGGGCAGATTGAGCGTGAGCGTTCGCGAAAGTGATTTTTTCCCTCTTTGGGATGGAACCACGAGGCGACGTTCATTCACAGAACGCAAGTTTCTGGAGGGCACATAGATCTGCAGAAGTGAGTGCAGATAAGAAGGTGCTAGGCCAGAAGTCACTTTGTAGGCAAACATCAGAGTTTTGAATTTGATGCGAGCAGCAACTGGCAGCCAGTGCAAACGGACTAGCAGCGGAGTGACATGTGCTCGTTCAGGTTCATTGAAGACAACTCGTGCTGCTGCATTCTGGAGCAGTTGAAGAGGCTTGATAGAGTTAGCTGGAAGCCCAGCTAGTAGAGAGTTGCAGTAATCCAGTTTGGAGAAAACATGAGCTTGAACAAGGAGTTGAGCTGCATGTTCAGATAAGAAGGGTCTGATCTTTCTGATGTTATAGAGTGCAAATCTGCACGATCGAGCAGTTCTAGAAATGTGGTCAGAGAAGTTTAGTTGGTCATCAATCGTTACTCCAAGGCTTTTCACCATTTTGGATGCAGTAATGGTTGCCCCATCCATCTGGATTGAAAAGATATGGTGTAGAGTCGGGTTGGCAGAAACTACAAGCATTTCCGTTTTTGCGAGGTTCAGCTGAAGATGATGATCTTTCATCCAGTGTGAAATATCCAACAGGCAGGCTGAGATACGAGCTGGAACCGAGGGATCATCAGGATGAAAAGAGAGGTATAGCTGGGTATCATCAGCATAGCAGTGGTAGGAGAATCCATGTCTCTGGATGACTGGTCCTAGAGATGATGTGTAGATGGAGAAGAGAAGTGGCCCAAGAACAGAGCCTTGAGGTACCCCAGTGTTTAGATGCTGTAGGTTGGACACCTCTCCCCTCCAAGACACCCTGAATGACCTGTCAGAGAGGTAAGATCTGAACCATTGTATAACAGTGCCCGCAACGCCCAGTGACTCAAGCGTAGATAGCAGGATCTGGTGGTTGACATTGTCAAAAGCAGCTGACAAGTCCAGCAAAATGAGGACTGATGATTTAGAGTCTGCTTTAGCCAGTCTGAGATCCTCCACGACCGAGAGCAGGGCAGTCTCAGTTGAGTGGCCTTTCTTAAAGCCGGATTGCTTGTTGTCCATGAGATTGTTTTGAGTAAGAAAGTCCAGAACTTGATTGAACACTACTTTCTCCAGAATCTTGGCCATGGAAGCAGGGATACTGGTCTGTAGTTTTCAAGTAGCGTATGGTCCAGGTTGGGTTTCTTTAGCAGTGGGGTTACCCTAGCCTGCTTAAATGTAGTGGGGAATAAACCAGAGTCAAGAGATGTGTTAATTATGTGAGTCAGTGTTGGTATGACTGCAGGAGAGATGGCTTGCAAGAGATGAGAGGGAATGGGATCGAGTGGACAGGTGGTTGCATGGCTAGATAGCACAAGTTTGGACACCTCAGACTCAGAGAGCTGAGAAAAAGAGGTGAGTGTGTGTGGTGTATCTTGCGTGTTTGTTGTAGGTGTAGCAAATTGAGCACTGATTTTTGCAGTTTTGGTGCAGAAGAATGTAGCAAAGTCATCAGTAGTAAGTGTGGAGGATGCGGGTGGAGGAGGAGGATAGAGGAGGGAGGAAAATGTTTTAAAAAGTAGGCGAGGATTAGTGGCATTGTTGATTTTCAGACGGTAATACGTCTGCTTTGCAGAAGTAACCTCAGCTGAGAAAGAGGACAGAAGAGTTTGGTATGTTAAGAGATGTGCAGGATTTTTTGTTTTTTTAGTTTTCCACCAAATTCTCTCCGCAGCCCGAAGTTTTGAGCGATGCTCACGGAGAGCATCCGAGAGCCAGGGTGCAGGAGGACTGGCACGGGCTGGCCTGGATGCAAGAGGACATAATCGGTCTAGACATGATGCTAGTGTGGAGCAGAGTGTATTAGTGGCACTGTTCGAATCAAGTGCAGTGAGTTTGCGAGATGGAGGAAGAGAGTCTGAAACAATGGTGGATAGTCTATTGGGTGAGAGAGATCGTAGGTTTCTGCGAAAGGTAACCAGTGTTGGAGTGTGTGGTGGCTCAGGAGTAATGTGGATGTTGAGAGACAGAAGGAAATGATCAGATATTTGTAGTGGAGTTACTATTGTTTGATCAGTGAAGCAGTGTCGTGTGTAAATAAGGTCTAGCTGATTACCTGATTTGTGGGTAGCAGAAGTAGGTGCTCTTTTTAGGTCAAAAGAGGCAAGCAAAGTCTGAAAGTCTGCAGCTTGCGGTTTGTCAACGTAAATGTTGAAGTCACCTAGCACCAATAAGGGAGTGGCAAAATTAGAAAAAGATGAGAGAAGAACATCCAGTTCATCTAGGAAGTGACCTAATTTACCTGGTGGGCGGTAGATGACAACCACATTTATGTAGAAGGGGTGGATAATGGTGACTGCATGGAATTCAAAGGAGCTGATTGTTGGCAGGGACGGTATCAGAGTAAATTTCCATTCTTTGGAAATTAGTAGTCCAGTCCCACCCCCTCTCCCTGTCTGACGAGGAGTGTGGGAAAAAGAGAAATTAGCAGAAAGAGTAGCATGTGTAGCAGTGTCCTCCGGCCTCAACCAGGTCTCAGTTAGAGCCATGAGATTATAGTCAGAATATGTAGCTATGGAGGTAATAAAATCAGCCTTGTAATAAAATCAGCTGATTGACAGTTCCAGAGGCCCACGGAGAGAGAGAGTTGTGAAATAGTAGATACATGTATTGAACGAAGGTTGTGAGGATTACGCCTGCAGCGTACCTCCCGTGTTTTGCGAGTGTTAGTAACAACAGGAATTAGAAAACACATAATAAAAGTGCACTGACAACAAAAAATAAGTGTAAAGTAAAACAATACAGTAAAGTACTCAAGTGCTTTGTCGGTGTCTTTGCTCGGTGGAGTCGCGCAGGTAGAGTCGATGGTCTTTACCCTCGTCGGTCTTCACACGAGGCTGCCGCGACCGCTGCCGCAGTGAACTAGTTGTTTATATAACCCCAAAGCACTAGCTGATTGAATTCAGCTGGACACGCCTCCCGAGTCAAAACAAGGGCCGAAACTGAGGCGGACGACGCGAAACCGCGTCTGCGTTCGCTACACAAGCTTTTATAGTAACCAAGGAAACAGTGGCTAAACAACTTCTAGTATTATACACAACTGAAAGCAAGTTTAAATGTCCTACAACTTTACACAAACAGCTGGAAACAAGTCCTCAAACCATACACAACAACTGAAACAAATCTTAAATGTACTTACAGGCTGCTGGTCTAGATGCTGCTAAAGTGCTTCTCCTGCCGGCTAATGCTAGCGTGCTCACTATATAGTGGTTACCTGGCGTTTGGACACGCCTCCCGAGTCAAAACAAGGGCCGAAACTGAGGCGGACGACGCGAAACCGCGTCTGCGTTCGCTACACAAGCTCTTATAGTATTCTGTCCCAACCAATTGCGTTTTCCTGAGCAAAGGGTTTAACAGATAGCATACTCCAGAAAAGAACACCAGAAAGCAGTTGGATAACTTGAGTGACTTTACTGGGTATTGTTCCTCACAATATCTTCTATTCTGTTTGTAAAACTACAACAAAAGGAAAAGGAAAAATAAGAATACAATCTTATTCACATGACAATGATATTCCCAACATGTTCAGTTCAATCAGCTAGACATTATTCTACTACTAATGTACATAGTTCTTTTTTACACAAATCTTGTACACACATAAGGAAATCTATTAAATAAAACACATTTTGTATCAAATGTCAGCAAATTAACATATTTGTAACGCCACTCAGCATTATGAACTTGTCTGACTAATTATGAACATGTGATTGGAGAGCAAATACAGGAATAATAAATCTAATAAACCAGTAATGACTCTTTAACATGCAACCTTTGAACATACAATTGCTGTTTAATCAAATTGTGGACTTACGGACATATATTTCCAAGGTTTCCACGTTTTAATCAGGCACCGAAAGAACCGCGTGCGTGAGTTGTCCTTGACTGTATGCACTGAAGGAAAACGAAAGTGAATCTTAATTGTACATATAGTGCAGTGCCTTTAATGTCCGGTAGGTGGAGCGCCAAACCCACAAATGGCTTTAGAAGACCACACACTCCTCGCCTGGTATAACAACCTATTATACTACTATTTATCCCTTTATGGCTTCTTCGGCAGGAGAAGCACTACTTCTGAGATAGGCCTTAGATATACCTTCGCCACACCTTCTTTAACTATCTTTACTTCTACCTTTCTCACTCTATCATCACTGCTGGCCATGGTTTTCACAATAAGCCCAATAGGCCAATCATTTCGTTTCACATTAGAGTCCTTGAGCAAGACAACATCCCCTTCTCTGAGGTTTTGTTTTTCCTCTGTCCACTTTCTTCGGACCTGTAAAGTTGCAAGATAATCCCTTTTCCATGATGTCCAGAAAGCATCTGCTAGACATTGAACCTTTCTCCATTCTTTCTTGTAAAGGTCCTTTATATCAAAGTCCCCAAGAGAAGCTGGTACAGTACTTGCCTTTTGTGTGAGGAGCATCGAAGGAGATAGAACTTCAAATGTGTCAGGGTCAGAAGAAATAGGAATTAACGGTCTAGCATTCATTATTGCCATAACTTCAGACATGAGTGTAGTCAAAACTTCATGAGTAAGACGTGTGCAGCTGCTTTTCAACAGCAGGCCATCAAGAATGCATCGTGCTGTGTTGATCATCCTTTCCCAAGCTCCTCCCATATGGGAAGAGTGGGGAACGTTAAATGACCATGTACAACCTTGCTCTTGCAAATATCCCTTAAGCTCTGGATCATCAGTCTTGATGTTTAGTTCTCGACATGCACCAATGAAATTAGTTCCTCTGTCTGATCTCAAATGTTTAACTGGTCCACGAACTGCCAAGAACCGTCTGAGGGCATTAATAAAACTGGAAGTTGACATTGACTCAATGACCTCCAGATGGACTGCCCTTGTGCTCAGACAGGAGAAAATGACAGCCCATCTTTTACTTTCTGCACTGCCACCTCTTGTACGGCGTGACATTATGCTCCATGGCCCAAAAACATCTAGACCCACGTACGTGGAAGGTGGATCTACTGTCACTCTGTCCATGGGTAGGTCTGACATTCTTTGCTCTTCTATTCTTCCTCTCAACTTTCTGCATGTAACACACTGATGAATCACACTGTTAATTAGTCTTGTTCCCTTTACAATCCAGAGACCAGCTGATCGTATTGCTCCAGCAGTTAAATGACGACCTTGGTGAGCCACCCGCTCATGGTAGTGTCTGACCAATAATGTAGAGACATGTTGGCATGCTGGGATTACTAATGGGTGCTTTTCTTGTTCTGACAGTTCTGCCAATTGCAAACGGCCTCCAACTCTAATTAGCCCATCACCATCTACAAAGGGAGCTAGCTTTTTGAGAGAACTTTGTTGTGAGATTTCTTCTCTCTTTCTCAACTTTTTGAGTTCCTCACTGTAATGTTCTTGCTGCACACACTGTATTATAAAAGTTTTCGCTTGTGTCCAGTCAACCTGATGACTTTTCTGGCACAAGTGCCAGCCTTTGCAATCTAGTGTACATTTCATATCAGAAAAGGATTGCACAATATGAATGAGATTTGCTATACTTCTTACAAGTGATGTCCATTCTGAAAAGCGTTTGAACCTGTGTGATCCAAGAGATTGATCTGTTACATTAGTGACCAATGTTGTCACTTGAGGACGGATTTCCTGATCCTTCCCTGGTTCTACCAGGTCAAATGAATCCTCCTTAGCTCCGAGGTCAGGCTTACACAGGAATTCTGGACCGCAGAACCAATTGGTGTGAGGAAGGATATCTGCTGGAACAAACCTAGTTCCAAGATCTGCTGGGTTCAGCTCTGAACTAATGTGATGCCACTGTTCAGGTTTTGTGGAGCTTCTAATTCGTGCCACTCGGTTTGCAACATACACATAGAATCTTCGAGAGGTATTGTAGATGTATCCCAAGACAATCTTACTATCAGTGTAAAATTTTACTGTTGTCAATTCCATATCCAGCTCTTCAGTAATTAGTTCTGCCAGTTCAACAGCTAGGACTGCCGCACACAGTTCTAAACGTGGCACTGTCTGAGCAGGATATTGTGCCAATTTTGACTTAGCCATGATGAACCCAACATGACACTGACCCTCTATAGATGCAACTCTGAGATAGGCAACCGCAGCAATGGCCAGTGTAGACGCATCAGAAAAAATGATCACCTCTCTCTCAGAAGTTTGGGACATAGAGATGGGTATGTAGGGTCTGGGAATCTGAACTTTCCTAAGGTCTGCTAATGAATTTGTCCAAACCTTCCATTGGGTTTCCTTATCTGTTGGGAGTGGTGTGTCCCAGTCAACTTGGTCTGATGACAGCTCTCTTACTAAGGCTTTGCCCTGTATAGTGACAGAAGCTACAAACCCCAAAGGATCATAGAGACTGTTAACTGTTGAAAGTATGCCTCGTCGAGTGAATGGTCTATTAACTGGTGATACTTGAAATGTTAAACAATCGGTCTCTAAACTCCAGCTCACCCCCAAGCTTCGTTGAAGAGGTAGGGGATCGATGGTTAGATCCAGATCCTTTAGGTCATTAGCTCTATCAGATGCAGGAAATGCTTCCATAACTTGATGGCTATTTGACGAAATCTTGTGAAGCCTAATGTTAGACTCAGACAACATGTTTTTGGTGTTTTTCAGAAGACTGATGGCCTCAGCTGCACTAGAGACAGAGATCAGACCATCGTCCACATAAAAATTTCTATGGATGAACTGTTTGGCCTCTTCACCATACTCTTCTTCTCCCCAATCTGCTGCCCGTCTCAATCCATAAATTGCCACAGCTGGAGATGGGCTGTTCCCAAAAACATGCACTGACATTCTGTACTCTGTGATTTCCTTAGAGAGATCATTGTCTTTAAACCACAAGAATCTCAGAAAGTTTTGGTGATCTTTCCTAACCTTAAAGCAGTAGAACATTTGTTCTACATCAGCTGTTACTGCGACTTGTTCCTTCCGGAAACGCATCAAGACCCCAAGTAACTTGTTGTTCAGGTCTGGGCCACGAAGAAGTGTGTCATTTAAAGAAATGCCTTTACACTGAGCGCTGGAATCGAACACCACCCTAATCTTCCCAGGTTTCAAAGGGTGGTACACACCAAATATCGGTAAATACCAGTATTCTTCATCAGGCAGGAGTGGGGGAGCAAGTTCTGCATGCTTGTTGATGAACATGTTCTGCATGAACTCCACAAAATGTTCACCCATCTCAGGTTTTTTTTGTAGTGTACGTTGCAGAATATTAAGACGCTTTAATGCTTGGTCTCGGTTATTTGGTAATGGCTTGTGCGGTAAACGGAATGGCAAGGGAGCTACCCAGTGGTTTGATTCATCCAAGTGCATTTCCTTGTTCATGACATCAAGAAAGATTTCATCTTCAACAGACAATGAGAGCTTATTATCACTGGGTGTCCTTTGGAAAACTCCGATACCAAGGTGGTCTGTACAAGAGCTTATAACTGGATGACAAGGTAGACAGGACTGGTATTGATGAACAGGAGTACCAAATTGTTCTTTAACCTGAATTCTTTTGGAGCAGGATGGGAAAAAAGAGGCACGTCCATTTTGCAGAATGTTTGTCTTGTACACATTTGCAGAATTTGACTTATGCACTCCTCCCAGACACATTTCTCCTACAATAACCCAGCCTAAGTCAAGACGCTGAGCATACGGCATGTCACCAGGTCCATTGTACTGCTCCCTTACTTTATGCACACTTAAAATGTCCCTTCCAAGAAGGAGAAGAATTGGAGCATTTTCATCAAAGGGAGGTAGCTTGTCGGCCACTGTCTTGAGATGAGAGAAGTACCGCGCTACTTCAGGTGTTGGAATTTCATCTCGATCCTCAGGCAACATATTACATTCCAAGAGCGTTGGAAGTGACACCTCAGTATTTCCATCAAGTGACCTGACAATGAAGTTGTCTGCTCTTCTACCCATTGTCTTTGCTGTACCACCACATGTGCGTAGAGTATAAGGGTAAGGATTTGTGTTGATTCCAAACAACTTGAAAAAGGCAGACTTCGCTAAGGACCGATTACTCTGGTCATCGAGTACCACATACATTCTCTCTGCTTTATCAGGACAATCGAATGGATAAACATCCACCAAGCAGATTTTCGAACATGATTTTGGTCTGGGAGCTCCACTGCAGATTTCTGTGCACTCAGAGGTAACATCTGATAACATGTCTGTAGCCAACTCCTCGCCTTGCTCTTGCTCGGTAACTAGAGTTTGCTCTATCCAGGGAGCAGGCCCTGGGTGCATTGCGGAGAGATGACGATCGCTGTTACATTCTCTACATTTAACAGCTAACCCACATGTGTTTGCTATGTGTTTAGTTGAACCACAACATCTGAAACAGATAGACAGACCTTTGAGGTATGTCTTTCTCTCATCTAGAGACTTTGCTCTAAATCCGCAGCATTTTGACAATGGATGCGGCTTGTTGTGAATTGGACATTGCACACTAGGTTCCAGCATCTTTTGTTCAGAACATAGCTTGTTTTTGGAATTTGAAACTGTGGCTAACACTTCAGTTTTCCTCACTGACACAGGTATTTTGTTAAATTGTGGACATTTCTCTTGCATAGGATGAACATGCATTGGTAAAGCAAAACTAGGGTCATTTCTTATCTTAGCTTGTTCACAAACAAATTGGACAAAGAAGCCAAATGGGGGGAAAGACACTTGTAGATGCTGTTTGACCTTCGCTCCATAAGTGATCCATCTCTCTTGCAAGTTAAAGGGAAGTTTTCCAAGGATGGGATTGACTCCCCTTGCTGTGTCAAGAATTGCTAACCCCTGTAAATGTCCACTTGACTTTGCTGATTCTAATTCCAAAAGTATATCTCCTAGCTCTCTGAGTCTGTGACTGTCTCTGTTAGCAATCCTAGGGAACCTTTCCAGTTTACTCAACAACGCATTCTCAATTACTTCAGGGCTTCCATAGCACTCTTCCAAACGTTGCCAAAGCATGCGAACGCCTGCTATAGGATAGTGTGCATGCACAGATCTGATGCGTTTGGCTTGTATAGATGACTCTGGCCCGAGCCATTTTGCAAGTAGGTCAAGCTCTTCTCTGGCTGTTAAATCAAGGTCCTTTGTAACATCTTGAAAGGAAGATTTCCAAGCCCAGTAGTTTTCTGGACAATCGTCAAACTTTGTGAGACCAGAACTCCCCATCTCTTTCCTCACCATGTAATTAGCTAAATCCGATGTGTAGGGCAAACTAAACATGGGAGCTTTAACGCTGGGAGTAGGAGATGTTTGAAAGGTAGAGCGATATTCGTGAACTTTATCTTTCCGGTTATTAATTTTCTCTTGCTTGATTTCCAACTCCTTCACCCTATATGATGGATTTTCTGATCGAGAAGTCACCATTGCCTCTTGATGAAGTGTTTCAGCACTCCTAGAGGATGGCTGTTGTATCAGGGTATCAATTAACTGCTGCTCATGCTGTTCAGTAGCATGCTTCTGAACGTACTCCCTAGTACGCTGAGATTGAATTGAGCGTGTATCACTGAGCAGCTCATCTATATTACCCTCTTCAATGTCAGCTGCTGCCTCATAAATTGCTGCTTCAGCGGCTGCTGCAGTTGCGTCTTTCTGCGATTGTAGTACAAATAGATCTGCTTCAACCTCTGCTTTTTTCTTCATCATAGCTGCCTCTTTTTCTGCGTATGATGCTTTAGCTCTTGCTGCTTCAGCTTTAGCTCTCGCTCGGGTCGCTGCCACACTGGCTGATGACCTACTTGATCTCCGAGATGACTTTGACATAGAAGCTTCGGATCTTATTTCAAAGACTTGAGTCTTTCCCTCTTCATTACTGTGTGACTCCATAATTAGTGAGCTTCTAATAAGCTGTACACTGCAAAGGTCACAATGGGTGTGTGATTGCGTTGTTTCCACCCGCTGTATCAATGTCCTTTTACTATTCTGTCCCAACCAATTGCGTTTTCCTGAGCAAAGGGTTTAACAGATAGCATACTCCAGAAAAGAACACCAGAAAGCAGTTGGATAACTTGAGTGACTTTACTGGGTATTGTTCCTCACAATATCTTCTATTCTGTTTGTAAAACTACAACAAAAGGAAAAGGAAAAATAAGAATACAATCTTATTCACATGACAATGATATTCCCAACATGTTCAGTTCAATCAGCTAGACATTATTCTACAACTAATGTACATAGTTCTTTTTTACACAAATCTTGTACACACATAAGGAAATCTATTAAATAAAACACATTTTGTATCAAATGTCAGCAAATTAACATATTTGTAACGCCACTCAGCATTATGAACTTGTCTGACTAATTATGAACATGTGATTGGAGAGCAAATACAGGAATAATAAATCTAATAAACCAGTAATGACTCTTTAACATGCAACCTTTGAACATACAATTGCTGTTTAATCAAATTGTGGACTTACGGACATATATTTCCAAGGTTTCCACGTTTTAATCAGGCACCGAAAGAACCGCGTGCGTGAGTTGTCCTTGACTGTATGCACTGAAGGAAAACGAAAGTGAATCTTAATTGTACATATAGTGCAGTGCCTTTAATGTCCGGTAGGTGGAGCGCCAAACCCACAAATGGCTTTAGAAGACCACACATATAGTAACCAAGGAAACAGTGGCTAAACAACTTTAGTGCCGACTAATGCTAGCGTGCTCATTATATAGTGGTTACCTGGCGTTTGGACACGCCTCCCGAGTCAAAACAAGGGCCAAAACTGAGGCGGACGACGCGAAACCGCGTCTGCGTTCGCTACACAAGCTCTTATAGTAACCAAGTGTAGCAGACTTCAAATGGACTTCCCTCTCAAACACGGTCACACACACAGATGAGGTGGAGAAACACTGATTTATTCCCTTAACAAAACAGTGAGGCACAGTCAGTATAGTTTAACACTGGAAACCCTCTCAATCCTCTGCTTCACCATCTGCGTGCACCACGCGACTGTGTCACGCTCAAAATAAATGTTCGGGTGGATCCAATAGCGAGTGAACAAAGTAATTTATTAAACACAGTCAAACTCAAAAAAGGCAGGATGTAACAAAAGAGTGAGGTGCTAAGGCTAGGGGAACAGGACAGGAATCGAACAGGAAATCAGGCTCTAGCAGAAGCTCCTCACGGTCCTGAGCACAGACAGAGAGACACACATGAGAACACGTAACGAACTGACAATGAACATTAAACACGTAGCACTTAAATAGTCACGATGATGTAATTCAGCTGGCGAAAAATCAATCCAGCGGAGTGACGTAAGGCCACGTGACCAAAACAACACACGTGGGCCACAAAAGCAAAACAAACCCACATGATCACACAGACATTCCGGAAGAGCGCACAAACCTGCAACCGTGACATTACCCCTCTCTCAAGAGCACCTCCTGGTGCTCCCAGAAGCGCTTACCTGGCGATTGTAATCATCGATAAGAGAGTGATCCAATATGTCCTTTGCAGGGACCCAACTCCTCTCCTCCGCACCATAACCTTCCCAGTCCACCAAGTACTGAAATCCTCGCCCCCTCCGTCTTGAGTCCAAAATGCGCTTAACCGAATAAACGGTCTCCCCATCTACGAGACGCGGCGGGGGGGGAACCGGAGTGGGCGGATTAATCGCCGTATGAAAAACGGGCTTTAATTTGGAAACATGGAACACGGGATGAATTCTCCTGTACGCTGGAGGAAGTTTGAGGCGGACTGCCACCGGACTAATGATCTTGATGACAGTGAATGGGCCAATAAATTTGGGTGCAAGTTTATTACATACGGAACGCAAGGGAATATTCTTAGTTGAAAGCCACACTTTTTGACCGACGACGTAAACGGGAGGCTTCGACCGGTGGCGATCGGCTTTAGCCTTAGTGCGCGCACCCACTTGGAGGAGGGTCTGCCTGGCCCTGTTCCAAGTGCGTCGGCACCTCTGGACAAAGGCGTGGGCGGAGGGGACCGCGACTTCGGATTCCAGACTGGGAAAAGCTGGTGGCTGGTAACCTAAACTACACTGAAACGGAGAAAGGCCCGTAGCCGACACTGGTAATGAATTGTGTGCGTACTCCACCCATGGGAGCTGCTGACTCCAAGAGGAGGGATTCTGGGAAACCAAACAACGTAACATTCGCTCGAGATCTTGGTTTGCCCTCTCAGTTTGTCCGTTACTCTGAGGATGAAACCCAGAAGAAAGACTTACAGTCGC